TACCCCACCCTCCCCAGCCAGGACCGGGCTCAGGGCAGCTAACAACCAATAATAAAAACAAGTTGATTGAAATACAACTTTAAAAACAAGATTAAAATACAACATTAAAACATTAAAATGCAGCCTCATCACAGGAGGAGAAAGGAAAAAAGAAAGAAAGAAGGGGAGGGGATCAAGTTGATTCCAAGCCAAAGGCCAGGTGGAACAACTCTGTCTTACAGACCCTGTGGAAAGAAATCAGATCCCGCAGGGCCCTGGTCTCATGAGACAGAGCGTTCCACCAGGCCGGGGCCAGTGCTGAAAAGGCCCTGGCTCTGGTTGAGGCTAATCTGACTTCCTTAGGACCCGGGACCTCTAGGGTGTTGCTATTTATGGACCTTGAGGCTCTCCATGGGGCATACTGGGAGAGGCGGTCCCGTAGGTACGAGGGTCCTAGGCCGTGAAGGGCTTTAAAGGTCAAAAGCAGCACCTTGAACCTGACCCTGTACTCCACTGGGAGCCAGTGCAGCTGGAAAAGCGCTGGGTGAATATGCTCCCATGGCAGAGACCCCGTGAGGAGCCTCGCTGCAGCATTTTGCACCCGCTGGAGTTTCTGGGACAGCTTCAAGGGCAGCTCTGCGTAGAGCGAATTACAGCAGTCAAGCCTGGAGGTGACCGTCGCATGGATCACTGTGGCCAGGTCGGGGCGGGAAAGGTAAGGGACCAACTGCTTGATGCGGCGAAGGTGGAAAAATGTCGCCTTGGCTGTTGCTGTAACCTGCGCCTCCATGGAAAGGATTGTGTTCTTATGCCCCCTTGGTGTGCTTCTCATAGACAACTGTTGGCAGAGTAGACCTCCGAGTACTCTGGAGGGTACCCAGCCAGCTGCCAGCAGGTGCTGTTGTGCGATGGGGAATCAGTCTGGCAGCTTCTTGTCGGAGCAACAAGAGCCTGTGTCAGGAGGGACCCAGGACAAAGGAAGAGGGGGGCCCTGTGGTTTGAAATCCCGACATCAGCAAGACTCCTAGTGACGTGTGTGCAGAGCCCACAATTAATTCTGAACTTCCCCCTGTGCTATAAATATCCACAAAGGCTGAGAGGGCAAGGACTGGGGGCAGTTTCCCTCTGATCTATTCCTAGCAGAGCAGTTGTGAGCCAGCTGCCACACTTCTTGCCAGCAGCTGGGTTGTGGTGGAGAGAGGGAAGGGGAGGGAGCCCTTGCAGCTTCCTCGCTCAGACTGCCAGGTGAGGGTCTGTGAGTCACAACGAGGAGAGAAGCCTTTGGAGAGACAGTGGTGGTTTAGTGGTTACAGCTTCAGACTAGGACCTGGGAGACACCTGGGCTCCCCACTCAGCCATGAAGCTCACTGGGTGATGCAGTCACCGCCTCTCAGCCTAATCTACCTGCCAGCGTTGCTGTTGTAGATTAAATGTGGAAGGGGGAAAGGTCCATGTCCGCCACCTTGAGCTCCTGGGAAAAGAGGGGGGTATAAAATGCATTAGGGACGCGGGTGGCGCTGTGGGTTAAACCACAGAGCCTAGGACTTGCCGATCAGAAGGTCGGCGGTTCGAATCCCCGTGACAGGGTGAGCTCCCGTTACTCGGTCCCTGCTCCTGCCAACCTAGAAGTTCGAAAGCACATCAAGTGCAAGTAGATAAATAGGTACAGCTCTGGTGGGAAGGTAAACGGCGTTTCCATGCGCTGCTCTGGTTTGCCAGAAGCGGCTTAGTCATGCTTAGCCACATGACCCGGAAGCTGTACGCCGGCTCCCTTGGCCAATAAAGCAAGATGAGCGCCGTAACCCCAGAGTCAGCCACGACTGGACCTAATGCTCAGGGGTCCCTTTACCTTTACCTTATAAAATGCATTAAACAAATGAGAAACCACTTGCGTGATGAAAGGAGGCTCTTTCTCCTTGTCTCCCCTCTCATCTCCTGGATCCTTTGCCATTGCCTCAAATAATGCAAAATGCAATACGGTGCAGGCTAAAGTATACAAGATGCTGCAAAAACAGTTAAAAGCAGCATAATAAAATGACCAAAATAAAATAGTATTCCCAAAAGAAAGCTGTGCAGGATGAGTGTACAGTGGTACCTTGCGTTAAGAACTTAATTTGTTCTGGAGGTGTGTTCTTAACCTGAAACTGTTCTTAACCTGAAGCACCACTTTAGCTAATGGGGCCTCCTGCTGCCACCGCACCACCAGTGCACGATTTCTGTTCTCATCCTGAAGCAAAGTTCTTAACCGGAGGTACTATTTCTAGGTTAGAGGAGTCTGTAACCTGAAGTGTATGTAACCTGAAGCGTATGAAACCCAAGGTACCACTGTATTAAGTTGGGAAGCAATTCCAAATCCTGGTGATGCGGCCCCAAACAACCTCTCTCACCTCTCTCACCTCGGCAGGTGTCCACCTGCCTTGCTTCAGCCCATGGTCCACAAAATACAAAAATGCAGTTGAGTTTACAGCAGTCAGCATCTTAAAGTCTGGGTGAACAAGCGGGTTTTAAATCATCTCCAGAAGCTAAAGGGGCCATGATGTCCATTTTATTTGGGAAGGCAGGGAGTTCCACAGCTGGGATGCCACTGCAGAGAAGGCCCTGCCCTGGTCATGACACATCAAGCCTCACCCATTGGAAGGACCTTGAGTTGGGTCTTTCCTGCAGATCTTAAGGCACTGGGAAGATGGTGGCAATGCAGAATGTTCCCTGAAGGATCTGTGTCTTGTGTCATTCTAGGCCACATGTATTAAAGCCAACACCTTCAACATGGGTGTTATATGATCTCACCTCAATGACCCACTCAGGGATCTGGAAGTAGCAGATTGCACCAGCTCTGTCTTTAAGGCAACAGAAGAAGCTGTTGCATAGTGAGTCAGGGCACTGGTGCATCTTAGGCCAGCATTGCCTACTCTGAACGACAGCAAGGGCTCCTTGGATTTCAGGCCAGGAGTCTCTCCCAGCCGTACCTGAAGACACCAGGGCAGCCCCTTGCAGAGCGCATTAGAGTAATCTATTTAGGAGGCTGCCAGGGCAGGGTGTAGCTTGGCTCTCCCAGTCCATTTGGAGCTGGCCAACCAGTTGGGACTGGGAGAAGGCACTCCATGCCCCTGATGCCACCTGGGACAACACTGGATCTAGGAATACCCCCAAGCATGGGGCAGGGAGCAACTCTTTTAGGGCTAAGGTTCCTTCGGCCTGCCCAATAAAATATTTGAGGGGTCCAAGGCCCCCCAAAGTTGATGGGCACTGCCATTTAAATAGTGTTTGTGTGTGTCGTGTATTGTGCTTATGGAAGGCAGGGCTTACCTGCTCCCTTCCCCAATATTTTATTCAAGTTGGCACCCTTGCCCCCAAGCCACGTACCTTGTCCTTCAAGGAGAGTGTGGCCTGTCCAGAATAGACCACGGACCCTCCTTCATTGCAAGTCCTTCTTATTTCTACCCCACAGAATACAAGGCAGTTGACGATTCCCGGACTTAAGAGCTATCTGTGCCTGAGTTTTGGATGCTCCCTGCAGAAGCTGCTGGCCATGGAACACGTGGAGTTAATTCCCTCTGTCTCTCCCTTGAACTTTCAGATTATCAAGGCCCTTTGGCTGGAGCCAAAGACGACATCGTGACTGATGCTACTCCCAGATAAAGGGTCTTCAAAGGAAGCGAAAGCACCCTGGCTGTGATGGATGAGATCAGCCCAGCCTTGGAAGGGGGTCCTTGCGTGATGGGGCAGAGACACTCTCTGAAAAAGGCCCAGGACAGGGTGGGTGTGATTTGGAAATCCAAATACTGCCAGCCACAACGTCAACCGGAGATTTCAGGGCCCCTCACAGGAAAACTTCCTGCAAGAACCAGCCCCTTCTTACGTCTCTCTCACGGTTGGCCTTAACCCTTCAGCGACAGAAAAATTCTGTACCAATCTGGTATGGGACTCAAATGTACCCCAAGAGGGAGACATAAAAGGTTGCTATTTTAAATAAGAGCAACAACACCATCAACCAGGAATAGAGAGGAAAGCTGTTGGTTGTTTGTTTGTTTACATTTTTATATATTGCCGTATCACAGAAATATGTGACAGTGGTTTACAAGAATATAACAATATACAACAATATAAAAACAGAAAACAGCAAAGTTCTCAGCAGGCATTTAAAAGCTGGCACGGAAGAAGTGAGTGTGTTAAAGGAGCAGATGGAGGGATGGAAAAACCTGGCCTGCTTGGGTCGTGGGAAGAGGGTGCATGGTGGGTGCCGGAAAGAAAAAATATTTTAAGCCACCGTCTCCCACTTAACAGCCGAGTACTGGCCCAGCGCTCTCCGTTGCGCCGCGCAGGGAAAGCAGCGCTTGGGCTGCGCTTCTGTCTGCAAGGAGCTTGTTGCCAGGACTTTGTCCCCTCCGCGGTCCCAATCCCCGCTTTGCCTGCAGCGGGAAGGGAAGGGGGCATAGCTGTCAACTTTTCCCTTTTCTTGCGAGGAATCCTATTCTGAATAAGGGAGTTTCCCTTAAAAAAAGGGAAACGTTGACAGCTATGGAAGGGGGCTCTCGCTCCGCCGCATCTCCCCGCTAGAAAAAGTTTCGGCTTCCTAAAAGCGCGCGCGCATCATCCGGCTCCCGGCCAGCGAACACGCGGAGACACTCGGCCGTGCGAACCCGCTCGCTCTCTTCCCCGCCTTGATCTTCCCTGCAGTTTTATAGGACACCACCCCCACCTAGCGGCCAGCAGCGTTGTTGCCGCTCGACATCGATGACTTTCCGGAGCCCCCGCACGTTTTCTCTTGGCGGTTTCCTCGCAAGGAGAAGAGGCGAAGCTGTACGCACGGCCTCCGCGGCATGTGGCCGAAGCGCAGACCTTGTGGTCTTCCCCTGGCCCTCGCCCTCTTCCTCTCGCGGCCCTCTGCTCCCAGAGTTCCCCTCCAACGTTGCATGGCCCAGGAGGATGATGATGATGTTGTTGTTTAGTCGTGTCCGACTCTTCCTGACCCCCTGGACCAGAGCACGCCAGGCACTCCTGTCTTCCACTGCCTCCCGCAGTTTGGTCAAGTTAGTAGCTTCCAGAACACTGTCCCACCATCTCGTCCTCTGTTTTCCCCTTCTCCTTGTGCCCTCCATCTTCCCCAACATCAGGGTCTTTTCCAGGGAGTCTTCTCTTCTCATGAGGTGGCCAAAGTATTGGAGCCTCAGCTTCAGGATCTGTCCTTCCAGTGAGCACTCAGGGCTGATTTCCTTCAGAATGGAGAGGTTTGATCTTCTTGCAGTCCATGGGACTCTCCAGAGTCTCCTCCAGCACCAGAATTCAAAAGCATCCATTCTTCGGCGATCAGCCTTCTTTGTGGTCCAGCTCTCACTTCCATACATCACTACTGGGAAAACCAGAGCTTGCACTATACGGACCTTTATCGGCAAGGTGATGTCTCTGCTTTTAAAGATGCTGTCTAGGTTTGGCCCAGGATGGTGTGGGGCATTTCACCGCTTCTTGAGAGAGCCGCGGAGGACCCCCGCCCTCCTCCTGAGAAGGTCTCTGGACCCTGAGGAAGCGCCATCACCTCTGCCGCCGGCAGGGGGCGCCTCTGGAGCAGGAGCTGGGCGCCCCCGCCGCTTCTTTTTTCGATGCGCTTCCAGCAGAGACTCTTGCCCGGCCGTGCCAAGCGCCCTCGTGGCTCCCTGGCGGTGCCCCTCTGGCGGGGGCGGGGCTGCCCGGGTTCTCCCCGGCTGGGCCAAGCGAGGCCAGGGAAACCTGCCTTATCTCCTCCGCTGCAGCCGCGCCAATGAGATTATGTGTGCCTGTGTCAAGGCTAAGGCAGCTAATAAGCATCTGCGGCGGAGGCGAAGAGAGACGCGTAATCCTGTTTGCCGATTAGGAGGTCGGCAGCTGGGGAGGAGAGCCGGGCGGGCTGGTGGGGGCGGCTGAGTTTGCAAGCGGGGCTTCCGCGGGGCAGCCCTGGGGGCGGCAGCGAAGCCTCAATTCCAGAGCAGAAGGACCCCAACCCATTCCAGATGCGGGCCATGCAAACACCCACAAATACCTGCACAGGTGTGTGCGCGCTTTCGGCAGGAGGCAGCAAGTGAGACTCTTATCTGGACTTCCATAACTCGAAGTTGTAGGAAGCAAGGCTTCGTTTGAGACAGGCTCGCTCCCGCGCCCCGATTTCGGAAGCCGCAGCTCAGATCCGCGGCTTCTGAGGAGCCTGGCTGTAGCTGGATCAGGCCACTGGGGTCTCATCTAGTCCAGCATCCGGCCCTTACAGTGGCCGGCCGCAGGACCTGAGTCTAGCAGCAGCAGCCTTCTCCCCACTTGCGATTCCCAACGGTTGGTAACAGGTGGAGACAGGACTGCATCTGAGCATGCACAGAGCTAGACGGAGCAGTGATGTGCTGCTGAATGTCTGAAGCACGGCCGCCTGTTGTAAATTGGGTGGGAGCGCGTAGTCTGAGGGGCATCTGCGGGGTTCCCTTGCAGCCTCGTGGGTCTTGGTTGCAAGGCTGGGCTTTGGTCAGGAGAGGGTTAATGGGGTGGGAGGGGCGCTGCTGGGCTGGCGATTATCCGGGTGGCTCTGGCGGAGCCGCCAACTGCCCTGGCTTGGTTAAGGAGATCAAAGGCGATCATGCCTCTCAATGGACTGCTCTCCGGGATGCGAAGATTCCTGGATTAGTTCCTTCCTTCCTCCCTTGCGCGAGGCGGTGGCGTCAAGGCTTTGGAGAGGAGGGGGGCACCGAGGAAAGCGCCAGAGCTGTAGGATTTCCCAGAAGCTCTGAAGGGCCAGGGGCTCCCCAGAAACCTGATAGGGGAACAGGGTCTGCTGGGAGCCTTTGGCCTGTGACCCCTTCCTCTTCCACTCAGCCCATAAATATGAGTGCATCATATCACAAACGCAGCCTCCCTCCTCAAGTGTGGCTCACCTAAAGGTAAAGGGACCCCTGACCATTAGGTCCAATCATGGCCGACTCTGGGGTTGCGGTGCTCATCTCACTTTATTGGCCGAGGGAGCCTGCGTATAGCTTCCGGGTCATGTCTAAGTCGCTTCTGGCGAACCAGAGCAGCGCACGGAAACGCTGTTTACCTTCCCGCTGGAGCGGTACCTATTTATCTACTTGCACTGGTGTGCTTTCGAACTGCCAGGTTGACAGGAGCAGGGACCGAGTAATGGGAGCTCACCTGTCGCGGGGATTCAAACCGCCGACCTTCTGATCGGCAAGTCCTAGGCTCTGTGGTTTAACCCACAGCGCCACCGCGTCCCTAGGCTCACCTAGTGGGATGTAAAATCTGGAGGTGCCCCCTGTCCCCCTTGTCTGTGCTTGGAGGAGAGTTATCCTCCTGTTAAATGTTCACATGTCCTGTTTTAAATGGCTGGCGGTGGTTTGTTCTGAAAAGCTGACAGGGCGCCGAAATCTTTAAAGCACACAAACGGTGTGAGCCTCTTCTGGAACTTCTGATGCTCCTTTCAGAAATAACATCTGAGAAGAGTATAAACTCCTACGGCATCTTTCAGACCTGCCAGCATATTCTTCTTTCAAAAATTATGCGCCCCAAGTCTTTTTGAGATGTTGTGGGGTAAACACTACTAAATAAACCGCAGGGGTTCGAGTGGGATTCCCGAGAGCCGAAACATGTTGCCTAATTTTAATGCTGAGGCACAGCTCCAAGATTCAGCTTCAAGGCTTTTGGCCAAATCTCATTCCCTCTTCCTTCTTTGCAAATTGGGAATATCACACAGAGGTGTTGTGAGGATAAGTCTGATAAAGAAAATTTTGTGTTTATCACCAACAAGCAAAAGGGGCCTTTTCTGTGGTGGCTCCCTCTTTGTGGGATGTTCTCCCCAGAGATGCTCACCAGAGAAAAACTGTCCCAGAAACTCCAGTGGGTGCAGAATGCTGCAGCGAGGCTCCTCACGGGGTCCCTGCCATGGGAGCATATTCACCCAGTGCTCTACCAGTTGGACTGACTCCAGGTGGAGTATAGGGTCAGGTTTAAGGTGCTGGTTTTGACCTTTAAAGCCCTTTGTGGCTTAGGGCCCTCGTATCTATGGGACCACCTCTCCTGGTCTGCCCCCGCAGAGGACCTTAAGGTCCATGAATAACCATAGTTTAGAGGTCCCGGGCCCTAAGGAAGTCAGACTATCCTCCACCAGGGCCAGGGCCTTTTCAGTGGTGGCTCCGACCTGGTGGGATGCTCTGTCCCAGGAGACCAGGGCCCTGCAGGATTTAACCTCCTTCCTTTGGGCCTGTAAGACAGAGCTATTCCGCCTGGCTTTCAATTTGAACTTAGCCTAAACAACTTAACAACAACAACAAACTATGCTATGCTATGTACTGGTAAATTATGGTTCTAATGTTGTACACTACCAAGGGATCTTGGATATTATGCTGTATATACATTGAATAAATAAATAAGCATATAAATTGAATAAATGAATAAACAAGCAGCCTTGTGGTCCGATGATAAAGTGGCAGGGAGCAGATTATTTAAAACTAATAACAATTCATAGCCTTCAGGGGTGGGATTGTAAGGTTATTTTTTAAAAATGGGAAATGATATACAATGAACTGAAAAAGAACATTTAAAATAACATTTGTGAAAAAACCAGAAGCTTTTTCGTTAGGTATTTTAGGACAAGAGCTGTCGAAAGAAAAAAAGGACATTGTTCCTGTATGCTACAACAGCGGCAAGAATCTTAATAGCTCAAAATGGGAAGAACAGAGAAGTACCATCAAAAGCACAATGGCAAGAAAAGTTGATGAACTATGCAGAGTTAGCAAAGTTAACAGACAAACTGCGTGAAAAGGACAATAGTGACTTTGAAAAAGAATGGGAACCCTTTACAATATATCTGCAGAAACAACAGAAAGAAATGGTCTCGCTGGCAGGATTTAAATAAACATTTACAATTTTATTTACAGAGAACAAGAAGTACAACAACCTGATAACGTAATATTGTATATAAACAGCAGGATGCGTCATCTGATGTAATAAACCAGAAATGGTAGTTGAGGGAAGTCAACAGGGAGGGGGGAAATTGGAAAATGTATGTTTAGCAATTATATTGGATACTTGTTCTAAGAAAATAAAATCAATAAAAATAATGTTTTAAAAAACAAAACAATTCACAGCCTTCAGGAAGGGCCTTTGGGCAGGAAGGGCTGCTAAATTATTACATACCTTATGCTTGCAAATGACCAAAAGGTTTCTCAGTTTGACATGCTGGCCATGATTACGATATGGGCTGCAGATGCTTGCGAGCTCCTAAAGAGCCTTGATGCATTTGAATCAGCCATGCAAAGAAGGTGAGGAAGAGGAAGAGGAGGAGGTTGCATCACTGGAGACTTTCGAGAGGACTTCAGGAAACCAGAACAGTTAACAGGGCCTGAGTCTGGAGTCCATGGATATAGGACCTTCCATAGTGTGGGATGTGAAACACAAGAGCAGTCAAGTACAACATTCCTAGAGTGAATATGTTTACACATGGGGAGGAATGTTTGTCCAGCCAGCAGGTCAACTTCCTGTTTCCTTCTGGGCTGGGACAGACTGTATGCGACTAGAGGTGGGTGTGGCCTCACCTGTGCAGGTAATGACAAATAAGTGGTTTCCAGCTGTACAGGTTAAAGTTATTGATAGACTAAGATTAAAGATTAGGATTAAAGATGTTTAAGGAAATGGAAATTTGGTACTTAAGAGGTAAAATTTTAATGTTATATTACATTAAGATTAAAGATTAGGATCAAAGAAGTTTAAGAGTTATATATTATATTAAAATTAAAGATTGGGATTAAAAAGTGGAAAAGAAATTGCGAGACAAACAATTTGTATTGTAATACAAAAGCGGCAGGTATCAGGACGTCCAGAAAATAAGTAAACTTAAAAACGGAAATGTAAAAGTGATATTGTTTTTAATTGTTATGTTTCTTTTTTTATTGTTGTTTCTTGCTTTTCGTGTTTTTTTTTATTTCTTTCTGGGATTTGTATTGTGTATTTGTGTATTTTTTTTTAATGTTTTTTCTGTTCAATTTTTGATTGAAACCTTAATAAAAAATTATTTAAAAAAAAACAAAAAACAAAAGCACAGGGCAGGGCAGCCATCTCTCTCTCTTTGACTACATGCATCGAAGAAGCAACATCTGCTTAGCCAAAGATGCTCAGAGGACAGAGGGACTGTCTCCTTATGAGATAGTTTCCAGGTGTTGGTTACTTTTCTAAGCTAAGTCTGCCTTCTGGGATCCTATTGTGAACAGAATGTGAGTGAGTAAACCTTTTTATACTTTTATAGAAGATTGTGTCGTGTCTTATCTTTTATGAGGGAATAAGGGAGAAATACCAGAACAGTTATTATAGAGGCTTTAGCGAGTCTGAGCAAACGCATCCGCTGCGAGTTTAAAAAGGGGAATGTTACTCTGCTAAATTGTGGAACTTGTTAACACAAGTTGGAAAGGCTATAATCAGACAATATATCCTCTCCTGCATCCCTGAACATTCACACACAGAGGCCAAGCGTTGCCCATGGACATAAGAATAGAACCCTGCTGGGGCCCTGCAGCTGCGTCAGACCAAAAACTTGGCATGGAGCCCAGCATCCAGCTTCCGACGCAGGTCAGCCAGGTGCCTCTTATGGGAAGTCCACCAGCAGGTCATGGAGGCCCTGCAGCCTTTCTCCTGCTGCCGATTCCCAGTAACGGGGAGAGCAGCCATTGAGAGCCTCCTCTTCATTCATTTGGCTAATCCCCTTTTAAAATCCGTTTAAAACTAGCAGCCACCCCCACATCTTGCAATGCTCAGCTCCATGTGCAATCCGGTGACGGCCTGCCTGCCCATCAGTTCCACTGAAAGATCCCAGGCTGATCTGAGAACAAAATGTGCCTTGATTGTGTTGAACGGTGCAAATGGAAAAAACTGTACGGACCAGCTTCATGTGGCAGGTTACTGAACCACCATCGTTTTCCTATTCCGAAGCAAAGTTGAAAAGATGTGCCATCGTAGCACATGCAAGGCATGTGTAGGTCCTTTTGCAAAATTCTCATTGCTGCAGGAATTTATGTACAGGTTGGGGGCGTTGCGCCTCCAGCAGATATAATGCACATGCAGCCCACTACCAAAATCAGCACAATCACTTTTGTGACTTTTGTGATTTGTCCCCACAAAACACTTCATCACAGTTTCTTCCTATCTATGCAAAGGGCCTTTGCAGCACAACACCAAATGTAAGAATTCACTGATAAATGTACCTATGTACTGGCTGACTGGGAAAACTTCAGAAATTCATATAGACCTGTGAGCTCAGCTCCTCAGCAGCCCCTCTGCCTGAGTGATAATCCCTGGCATCCTGGTACCTGAGGGCCAGACAGGTATCCATTCCAGAAATAACAATCCCAGATGAAGACAAATGGGTGTGATTAACTGGGCTAGGAAAGAGGGAAATGTGAATATCTCTTTTGTTCCACTTGATGGGTGTTTGGTGGAGGGCAAGGGGAACCATGGGGCAGGGTCCAGGATGCTCAGATTACTGCCACCAGACCTCCCCTTTCCTGATGTAACCGTGATGTATGAGTGATGTAGTTTGGGGAGGGTGTAATATGGGGATTAGCAGCTAATAAAAGTTTGGGGGCTCTTTTGTTTGGGGCTTCCATCTTGTTCCACCTTGTGGCAGGTGGGAGTCCTGTCCCGACAGTCTTCAATAAAGACCAAGCCTACTGGCTGCTGTTTTGCTCTGGTATTCCTGGCTGGGGTCCTTGTTTTTTCTCCAAGGGAGCCCTCAGATTTCTCCGTTAACATCATGAAAATCCTTACAGACTGAGGCCTGGGATGTTGGTTTGGCAGCGGCTGCTGTAGGCTCCACGCAACTTGTCTAAAGGACGGCAGATTCAGCCTCCAATGAGGTCAGCACTGGCTCCAGGGGACAGCTCCTCCATCTGAGTCCTTCGTCTGCTTCCTTTGTGCCCCCCTTGGTACATTTGGGGTCAGCAGCAGCTCAGGACAGACGGAGGAGATCATTCTGCTCTGCTATCACAGAGCATCCCCAAGTGGGAAAGGCTCACATGAAGCTCGGTTCTAGCGAGACGGAGCTGCAGTTGGGTAGCCCAGCTGTTTGTGAACATTCAGTCTCTTCCCGATAGGATTGTGCTCCTCTCTACCCTAAAGGATCAGACAGCTCATGGGGGTGGGGGGGCTGGTAGACCCCCTTCTCTGTCACTGGGAGCTCAAGTGATTTAGCTTGCAGCTGGAAGCTTCCAGATGAGGCGACTGCAGTGTGTTCGCATCACGGCAGCCTCTGAAGGCTACTCAAAAACGTCACTTCATGGTGGCCTAGCTCCAAAGCAGGGCCAACTTTCGGGGGTGAACCTGGACAGTGCTCAAGTCAGCCTCCACCAGCCTGATGTTTTGGACTACAACTCCCATCAGCCCCAGCTCCAAAATGTCTGGAGGGCATCAGGTTAGTGAAGGCTGCCTTAAGCAGCAACATTGGCTCCTTGCTGGGGCTTAACCATTCATGTCAGGTTTCCTTCTGTGACTTCTGGGTCACGTGACTCACTGGGAGAAGGGGCTGCCCAGTGAAGGGACACCCCCCCCCATGCCATAATTCTCTAACTGGTGAGGCTCATGTGGAACTGCCTTGATATCTTTTTATCCCCAGGCAAGGCAAAGGTCTTTAATAAATAAATAAATAAAACCCCAGACATATTTGTTTTATTTCCTTCCCCTTGTGGTCGCATGTCTTTAACCTCTGCTGTTTTATTTTATTTATTCATTTTATTGGCTGCAATTATATTCCATTAAAAAAATACCGAAGCAATAAAATCCACAATATCAAAGAAGCAAGCAATATGACAATAAAATCAGGAAGAGCTGGAAGAGGCTGTTGCTGGCCACCTGAACGCTGATAGAGGTGAGGATATGTCACTATTTTTTTTAAAAAAGGGGGTTTTAGATGTTATTGACGTTTCAAATATGTTTTTATTTTATTTTAATTGCGTTTTTTAACAGCTTGCTTTTAGCCCTGAATTTCCTTCGGGAGAGAAGTAGAAATGTAATTAATAAATGTTGTGTTTGTTTTCTCACCTGCCCAACCCGCCAGGGTTTTAATTGCCCTTCAAAGATAGCCCTCTGTTTTCTGCAAGACTGCGCCCCCTGGAGGCGTGGGTCGGAAAGTGACTCCGACGGCGGGGCGCCCTCTACCGGACCCCCATAGCCCCGACAGGGCGCCCTTCCACGTCCTGCTTCCTCGCCGCGCCAGCGCCTCCTAGTGCCAAATTGTGTCACTAGGTCTGCCCGGTTGCCGGAGCCCAGGCGGCGGCTAAATCTCAGCCCGCCGGTCTGCGGAGGCGGAGGAAAGACGCCGGAGCCGCTTCCAGCCCTGCACTGGTCCGGTGGGGGCGGACGCTTGCACCTCTCGCCGGCCCCCTTGCAAGAGAAGCTCAGCCTCCTTGCAACACCCCCCCCACCCGTGCACATCATTGAAGGGATGGGGTGGACAGGGGGTGGGGGTCCAGGGATGCAGCTGGATCCACCGGAGGGAAATAGCGGTGGGGGGGAGAGGCGGGGAGCGAGAGGCTGCCGAGAGAACAGGATGTGCTTCAGGGTTTGTTAAATCGATGGCAGGAGAAAGTGCTGAAATAACGCTCCGGAGTTCCTCCTCTCCCCGCGCCAACCCCCTCCGTTGCGGGGAGAGAGGAGACTCGCGAACTTGACTGGCGGGGCTGGATGGATGCGCTTTGCTCGGACCGCCGGCGGAACCTCTTTCCCATCCCAGGGCTCAGCCCCGAGGCAGATGCAATCAGCATCAAAGAGGCGGCCCGTTTTCGGGCCTCGGAGGGGAGTGGGCTCCCTCCGCTTCTCGGCTTTTTGCAAGGTGTTCGGGGCAGAGGACCTTGTCAATCGCTTATCTCTCTTCCCAGCTCCCCCCCCCGCCCCGCCCGCCCCCCCCAGCTTGTGTTCCTCCGAGTCCGTGAAGCGCCCCGTGAACATGGATCTGAGGCTGCGGAAGGGCGTTCAGCTCTGCGCAGGGCGCGCTCGGCGGGAGAAGTGGGGAGCAGCGCTCAGCGCCCCCGGCCCAATTTCTGGGACATTGCTGGGCGGGGGTGGGGGGTCGGGAACAGACTGGGACAGAAGAGCGCCTCCTACCGGAACTTCTCCCCCACCTCTGCAAAATAAAAATCCCTGCGCTAGAGCGCCGTCCTCCCCGCGTCTGCGCGTTTTGCAAGGGAGGATCCGCGCAACCACGCGACTCGGGCGCAGATGACTCAGGGAGCCGCCAGCCCTCTTCAGAGCCGCAAAGCATGCTGGGGGACGTAGTCTTTGCGGGGGGGACCGCTGAGCACGTGACAGACGCGCATCGCCCACCCCCACAACGTGCTCGGGTTCCTACTCTCCTCTCCGTCCCTTCCGTGCAGCTGGAATCCGCCGCGCCGGGTCTTGCGCGCAGCCTCGCCGTGCTGCCCCCCAGAAGTGGGTGCCCTGCAGTGCTGGGCAGGCAACCTTCCAGCGGGGGGGGGAGAGGGGGAGGGAGGGAATCCCTCTTCGCTGATTGGCCACTTCCCTGATCCTCTCCCGCCCAGTCCCAGGGCGACCTCCCCCACTCCCCTCCCCCCCCCCAATTTTTGCGGGCTGGCCTAAGCTGACCCCTCTGCAACCCGGAGTGTGACTCAGCAAAGCTGGAGGCCGGCTGGGGGGGGCGGGTCGCGCACGGAAGACTCCTCTGCCCCCCAACCTCCGCCTTGCGCGTCCTGCAGCCCCTTCTCCTGGTTGGAAGGGGGCTGGGGACCCCCTTTTCCCAGCTGGCCCCTCGCCATCTTCCACTCGGGGAACCAGAGCCAAGGTGATCTCCTCTCACCGCAGCCCCCACCCCCCAAAAAACCTTGCACCGAAGATCTGCAACCATCAGCTTCTTGCCTGGACGGCGCGGGAATGTGCGGACGCTGCGCCGCTGCGGAGACGCGCCTTTGCTGCTGCTGCCGACGCTGCAGAGGGGGGAAACCTTCAAGGGGGCGGCAGGCAAGGAGAACCAGGGGGGCCAGGCTCCCCGGGAAATGCGCGGCTCAGGTCTTTGCC